AATATTGTCGCATCTACAGTTGGCGACGCCACCCACAAAGGCCAAGGTCAAACGCAAATCCGTACCCAAAAGAGATCCCGATCAGCCTGTCGTCATAGTCTTGGACTCCCTCACTGGAAATTCTAGATCCGGAGCAGTCCGCGCCCTCAAAGACTGGATAATAGCAGAGGGTGATCACAAGCGTGGAATGAAAGCCGTCATCAAGGAAAATGGCTATTATCCAAAGGACACGCAGATTCCAATGCAGGACAACTGGACTGACTGCGGTGTCTATCTCCTTGGCTATGTTGAGAAATTCTTCCAAAATCCCGATGATTTCAAGAACAAGCTGCTGACGGGATCGATGTCAGCTCGGGAAGATTGGCCAGAGCTTAAGCCGTCCGAGATGCGGCATAAGATGCGTCAAATTATATTTGATTGTTACAAAAAGCAGGAGGAAGATAGGAAAGCACAGAAGAAAGCCAAGAAGGGTTCTGCAACTTCGAAAAAGTCACCGGCTCCGACGACACAAGAATCTGGGGATCAGAGCCGACCCAACCCTGAAGAGTCACAGAAAGAAGAGTCAAAGCTTGAACAATCACCTCACAACAGGAATGTGCAGCCTGCATCGTTAGAGGTCCACTCGCCCGTCCGTCTTCCACCTAGACTTGGGTCACCGTTCAGCCTCGACACAAAGCGGACGGCTTCCACTCCACAGTCCCCACAGACAATTATCAGCAAGGTTTCTGACTCACCGCCAATTTCCACGTCTCCTGCGAAGCCAACTATGATCACTTCACGTCCAGAAGAAACACCAAAGCGCCACCCTGAAGTGCGTATTCCTAGCAGAACCCCGAAATCGCATGGGTCCATGCGCAATGGTCAGACTACTTCAAACGGATCACCGCGTCCAGTCAAAGTACTGCATCAGACTGGCGGTGCACTCGATACATCGAGCCCAAAAAAACGTCGGAGACAGGTTGACGACAAGAATCAAGTCGAATCGCCGACTGCGAAGCGGCAGTTCACTAGGTCGCCCTGGCGAGTTCGCGATGGTGATGCGACAAGCGAGCGATCAACTCCACGCAGCCGGGAAGGTAGTGTTCCCCATGCGCCAATTCAAATCGACGACTCCCAAGAGGTCGAGGTCGTAAGCGCCACCCATCGCCAGCATGTACAAGCAACCTCGATTGCTCAGCGCAAACTCTCATCGCATCATCCACGCTCGAAACAGACGCTTCACCCATCACCGTCCTTGGAAGAAATTTCGCGTTCGTCGTTCAACAGCGAACATCCGAAACATGGTCAACGCGAAGGACGTCCTGTTGATAGTGCGCTCAGAACACAGATGGACGAAGACGACCATCCCAGAAAGAAGGTCCAGCGTTCAACAGCTCCTGCTCCTGGCGAAGGGAATGATCCGTTGGAACGCAGAGACGAAGAGGGATCTGACTCAATAGAACGAATCTCACAGTCGACCAATCAGTTGCAACTTGACGGAATCAACGACGGATCCGTTGTAAGAGAAACCCCGGAGCCTGATGAAAAGGGTCCGGTTGCGCAGAATGGAGGGTCGAGACAAGATCCTCTCCTTCTTTAGTTTTTCTTCTTTTTTGGGACAAAGCATGTCTTGCATATATCTTGCGATGGTGATTGCGAATTTTTATTCGGAAAATACAGACCCATCTTGGAATGGTGAAGGCGTTATATATCAAGGATTAGCGAAGGACAGCATGTCGCGAGTTAGGTGCAACTGTGGCAGCGCGCCCGATATCACAGCACAACTATGTTATCGTGCAATATTTATACAGCACTTTCGAGAATCTTGTCTTCTTTACCTTGTTCGGTCAACTGTCGTGATATGGATCCATTTGCGCCACGTCCGCCTGTAGGGTCATCGAGCGCTGCGACAGCATCGTCGACTTCTGCAAGCAGTCAGCATTGCCGGCATACCCTCCCTCGGCCAGGAGAGATACCATTGATAGAAGGCCTACCCTGGAATCCCTCATCCGTCTCGGCTGCTTCTCTGCCCACCCACCGCTTCATTTTGTCTCTAACAAACTCTGCAAAGTCCCATTCTTCTGGTTCGAGCCTTTGTGCGCCTGCTATCCAGACATAGGTTTCTGCCTCGGCTTCTTCGCCCTCTACGTTGTCTTCTTCCCTTTGTGATAGGTCACCCATGCCTTCTTCCGTGTTGCTGCCTTGGGCCCTGGGTTGCAGGACCTTGACTTTTACTTTCTGACGTTGATATTCTGAGCCTTCGAAGATGTCTAGTCGCCAGATGTCGCCGTCTGTGAGGCCTTGTACTAGGGTTCCGCGGACAGACGAGGGGGAATCCACGGGGAGGATGGCAGGATAGTCGGCTTGTTTTACTTTGTGGCGTCGGTGCATGTGAAGGATGGCTGGGCGTATGTGAAGAAGAGAGGCGTGGGCGGGTGTGGGCGGTGTTTGCGAACCCCATATTACGCGGTGTAGGACGGGCGGCGCCATCAAGGTCCCGTAGAAGAATGCTGTATGTGACATTTTGGTGGTTTGGCGGTCGATGGGAGTATGCGAAGGCTGAGGCTTGGAATACTGGTGGTGGTAGAGGCTTATAGCGTCCATAGACGATCAATTGTGCGATTAGATGAAAGAAAGATGGGTGAAAGCACCCCATGTAAACAGCGATGACGCAGACGCGATAAAGCTTATCGGTCAGCCCTACAGCCGCCAGCGGCCACTAAATTAGCGGAGATTGCGGAACTCTCCTTTTTGTCCGCTGTTGTTGTTTTTGTCTCAGCCTCACCACCTGACCAATTGCGCCAAACGGTCTCGAGGTCGCGTGTGCGTTAAACCCATAGCCGTCGGTCACTCAAGCGTTGTAAAAGGAGCATCTAGGGGACCTCGAAGGATTCCGACAGCTCCACCGGCGTTCCGAAGTGTACCGCCTGGCCAAGCACCCAACCATCGCCATGTTCTTCATCAGCGCCATTGTGAAGAACATTGCGCCCGTATTGTATGCACCCACAATCCGCCAGCCCTTTCCTGCTTCTAACGCACCCCCCGCAGCATAGCAACAAGTCCAATCACCAGCTATGGCGACCAGATCTACAGCATGCACCGAGCCCGCAGCTCTGCCGGCTTCTCCCTCGACATCCCGCTCATCATGCTCGTCGCCAGCATCCTGAAAGTCTACTACTGGTTCGGCGCCCACTTCAGCACCTCGCTGCTCGTCCAGGCTCTCCTCATGATATGCGTCCATCTGCTCCTCCTCCATGTCGCGCTTACGAACCGACCGCCGCCCTCGCACCTCCCCTTCCAACATAAAGATGTGTCGAACCGCCCATACGACTTCTGGCAATGGAGGGCGCCGAGACCCTATTGGACATTCATCACCTACTTTACCGGCGTGTTGCTGGTGCTGCACTTGGTCATGTCGTCGACAAGCATTTTCGTCCCGTACACGGATCTGCTGGGTATGGTTGCGTTGACTATTGAGGCTACGCTCCCGCTCCCGCAACTCCTGGCTAATTACCAGAGACGCGGGTGCAAAGGCTTCAGACCCAGCGTTATTGTCAACTGGGTTATTGGTGATACGTTCAAGATGTGGTTCTTCTTTGCTAGTAGCAGTGGTGAAGTACCTTGGGCTTTCAAGGCATGTGGTATCTTCCAGGCATGCTGTGATCTGGGCCTCGCAGCGCAGTATTTGATTTGGGGTGACGGGCCTGTAGGTGTCGAGGGACTGGGAAGAGAGAAAGAGGTTCGAAGCCCAATCCCACCTGAGGATGGATGGAATGCTGAGAAGCTGGGACAGGCAGGTGTGACAGGAGGTATTGAGATGAGCGATGGACAGGCTTGGGAGAGACCGAGGGCTGCGTAGGCTCCGATGAAGATAGATGAAGCTACCATGTAAGACATGCTTATATACAGATATCAGGTATGTCGAAATAATATTATTATCGCGCATATCCAGATAACGCGACTGCTTGAGGACTGCCTGAGCATCACAAGGCGGATCCACGCAAATACCATATCAACCGCCACATGATCTCTTCATTTGACCCAATGCAGTGTATACAGTTCACACTACATAGTTCGTTCCCAGAGTACGCCTCATCCCTTCTTATCACCTGCTGTGGACAAAATTCAGATAAACAAGGTATGGCCCGAAAATCTGAAGATCCCAAAGATTCGAAGGACGACCTGAGCATAGTAGCCAACGACGCGCGTAAGAGTGCAGCACTACAATGGAGAGCTGTATGGAAGGTGGAAGATGCCGAGAGAGCGGAGCAGGAGAAGCGAGACGCTGCGGAGAAGGCTGCGTCGGATCAACGAATGAAGAAACATGAGGATGCTGCCATAGCAAGAGCAAAGGTTGAGGAGAAAGAGCACGGAGAACAACAAGCAAAGCAAAGAGAGGATGTCTTTTTAGCGGAGGAGGGCGATCTTGTTTAGCAGGAAAATAGGATAAGGAAATGATACGCCAAGGTATACTTCCTTCACCTCTAAGCATTCAAAGAATAGGAAGCACAATCTCGCCTGTGTATTGGTCGAATTGGTACATCCGCAGCAAGCAACCTTTCCAGAAGCGCAATGAGCAACGAAACAACTTGCACGATTGCTGAAGCACCTGTCAGCTGCACTTGCGCGCAAATAGAGCACCCTAATGCCTTTGGTACAGCATTGTGCCATAAATTCGTGACTGCAGCCTGCCAACAAACTCAATTGCCCAAATCACACTTCCAGTACGCATCCTTCATACAGAGTTCGCGCTACAGGATCACAGCACAAACTTGACAAATAACTATCACGGATAAGTACTATCGCTATTCTAAGCGCAAACATTTGCCAATGCAGCCTCCCGATGACATAGCTTTTGTTCCACCTAATCAGTGATAACAACTCCAATCAGATATATCAAACACCTCCCATCCCACTGGCATACCAGCTTTCAGACTGAGCATCCACTCCTTTCTTTCGAGCACCAGAGTAATACTCTGTCTTATCCGTCACGGTGATCTTGAGCGACCTTCACCACAAAAATGTTCGGTCCATCGTCCCCAACCTCTCGTCACTTACGGCGCCGCCAGCAGAACTACTCCTGGGACCATGGCTACCTATACCAATCCGAACTCACGCCTATCCCTTCTTACGAAGACCTCTCCATCCCCACTGCCATGCACTCCCCAGTCGACCTCCCCTCCAGGGTTAGTGCTCTAAACCGCCGCGCGGCCATCGTCTCTGCAAATCTATCCCATCTTACCACCGTCGTCAAACCACTTGAGACGATTAAACCCGATGACCTGAGCGAAAGCCATCTTACTGACATATGGGAGGAAGGTGTGTGCTTGGGCAAAGCGATGGAGGACTTCAAAGAGCAAGTAAGTTGTCTCGCTTTGGAATGGATGTAAGATGTACACTGACTTCATTGCTTCACATTTGCAGATGGAGGAAGTGAGCTTGATACTGGAAGAGTTGCTGATTGGTCGGAAGAAGGCCATGAAGGTCTTGGGTGGGGTTGGCATGGGTCTAGAGAGTAGTAGAAGTATGTCGAGGGGCTTCAGCAGAAGAAGGGGGTTGGGATTCTGAGTAAGGAGGGTAGAAAAGATGAAGATGTGGTCATCTCTTTGTTCATAATGGCGTTATGTTTACTAAGGCAACGTATCATTGAATTGCATCTAGCGTACGGGCTTCATTTTGACAATCACTGCTAGGCGACCCATACTTACGCAGGAATCGTCTCTGGGGGCACACTTTCCAGTGTAGGCACAACAGGCTTGATCAAGCCCTGGTCGTCAAAGTACACTCTATCAATGGTGGTTTCCCTGTTCGTTCCGTTGCCGTTTGGTATAGCGAACCGATGGTACGCCATGTACCAGTCGTCAGTGTTCGGTACGTTAATGATGGAACTATGCCCAGTGGCGAGAATACCAAGCGACGGATTCTTCTGGAGTATGATACCGTGGTATGTCCATGGTCCATGAACACTTGTAGATGTCGCGTATCCCACTCGGTAGTTCTCTGAACCAGTATCGTCGATGGAGTAAGTAAGATGGAAGAGGCCTTTGCGGTAGTTCATGAAGATGCCCTCGCGAAACTCGGGAAGACCAGTAATGACACGAGTGGTGCCGTTTTTCAGTGAGAGCATATCGTCGGTGAGCTCAGCATAGAGTGCGGGCGTAATGTCTGACCCTCCGTTGCCCCAGAAGATATAGTACTTGCCAGTAGTTGGATCTTGGAAGACATCAGGATCAATCGCTTGGCCCGTGGTGATGTTTCCGTTGGAAGAGTCTCCAATGTTCAAGATCATGGCTTTCGGTTGGGCAGTGAAAGGCCCTTCTGGTGAGTCTGCAACAGCAACACCGATGGTCTTACGGTCGTACTCGGGGTTGTTACCGCTGAAGTAAAAGTAGTACTTGCCGTCCCTTTCGATGATAGTCGGAGCCCAGGCATTCCCCGTCGCCCAGGGTACGTTGCCGTTTGTCCCATTGAGGGTCAAGAAGGGCTCGGCTGATCGCGTCCAAGAGACGAGATCAGGGGACTTCCATACATAGAAAACGTTGCCGCCCCAGCCGGGGAAGCCATCAGTTGTCGCATAGATGTAGTGGTTTTCACCAAAAACGGCGATGTTTGGATCCGCATATAGACCAGGAAGTACGGGGCTGCCTGTCTTTGCAGTCAGACCAGCAAGCTCTCGTGCAGTCAGACCAGCAGACTCTTGTGCAGTCAGACCGGAAAGCTCTCGTGCAGTCACGGGGACTACAGTGCCGTGACGTGGGCTGGTCGGGAGCTTGTACGAGCTGGAAACCTTCCAGTTGGGCTTAGAAATATCATCCGTCTCTAGTGGGATATATCCACGTCCAGTGTACTCGTCGACAAAAAGATAGTACTTCTCGCCATGGACGTCACCTGGGTTGGCTTTGAATACTGTCGGCCCTTCGACATTGCTTGTACCAGCGTTACGACCGATGCATGCGGCAACCTGAGACCATGATTCAACAGGAGCAAGAAGGGAGTCCGAGCGCTCTTGAATGATGTCGGTGCAGTTGGTGCCTGTACCACCTTCGTCTTTGGTAAATCGATAAAACGTGGCGCCCTCCTGGATGACTGTAGTGTCAATTCGTGACATCTTAGCATCCTGCCAAATCTCGGGTTCGCTAAATGTGACGAAGTCTCGCGTGGTCACATAAAGCATGCGGTGGTAGGTTGCTCCCGTGCGATTCGTATCGCTCTCTTCGTATAGAGATGATGCCCAAAACACTACGTACGATCCGATGTCGGTATCGTAGTATGCCTCAGGTGCCCATGTGTTTCCAGCAGTGGAGGGAGAAACCTTGACGTGTCGTTGTTGTGACCATGTCTTGAGGTCGCTTGATTCCCAAATCTCCAGATACAAGCTCCCAATACGGACAGCATCTCCCCAGGAAGTGCCGGATCCAATCGATAAGTCAGTGGCGAGCAGATAGAATCTGTCACCTTCCGGCGAGCGGATTACGAAGGGATGACGCAGTCCCTTCGTGCCTTCGGAAGAGGCGAGAATGGGCTGTCCGTTGTTGAGCTCTCTCCAGTCCAATGCATTGTTGCCCTCGCTGGCTGCTAGGTAGATTTTCTCGCCCGCTAACGTGTTGTTCGTGAAGTACGCAAACGCATAGCCCTCGAACGGTTCAAGTTCGACAGCTTGTCGTACGTTGGCACTGAACGTGCGATTCGAAGTTGTTCCTTCTTGGTCGATGATCGCTGTAAGATTGACAACGGTGTCGGCGCCTTGTCTTTGCACAATGCCGTCCGCAGATATCACCGAGGGGTTGTTACTCATCCAGGTAACATTATAGTTCTCGGATGCGCTCGGTAGGTGAAGATTACCGCGAACATCGTCGACGTTTGTAATCGTGAGGCTTTCCAGTGCTGCTTGGACCTGGGCTCCTGACGATTCCGTTTGAGCAGAAACTGTCGACCATAGACTCCATACACACAGAGGAAGGCGGTACGACCGCATGATGAAAGAGATGTGAGAACGAGGGAGATACGGGTGTCTATTCAGAAGCACAGGATTACACACCTTGATGATATAGTACTATCACGAGCCGGGAGCTATACTCACCTGGCACTTTCGAGCCATAGTTACTTACCGGGAGCGATACTCAATTGACTTCCTTCCTTTGCCTAAGCGTAAAATCTCCACGAATACGCGGTGTCCACCAGGACCTAATTCATCAGCTCCTAGGGACCCTGGTCTCGTAACAAGTCTTGAACCTTGACCTTCCCCGGAGTACCCTCCACATTCGCTTGAGTCGTGGACCATATATAGTGCGGCACTCCACAAAGGCAGGCGAAAAGCAGAAACCGATGACGCCACTCCCGAGGTTTAAGCTGGATGACTTGCGGGGTTTGACGCTAAACCACGCACTAACCACGAACGCCATTCAACTTTCGTAGCATCTCGGGATAATTCCTCTCCGACTACAAACATCTGCAAGAAACTCCAGAGTTGTGTTATACAGATAGCTTGTCTCAACTGCGTAGTCTCGGTAGTCTCTCGATTGCTCCCCCCCTCGTTACATACCGCGGAGCACACAACATTGCCTAAGTGATAGGTTTCGTTTGCGACATTCCCTAGGCCTATTGCCCGAGCACGCGCTTCCTCGGCGTCTTTCGCACGGATACGGCTGCAAGCGCGGAGATATACGACCTTTTGCGTCGGTCGTACCATGGTCATCTGGTCGTGTAAAAGATTAAAAAACCGGTTGACTTGCAAAGAGCAGACAGCTTCATCGTTCAGAAGGAAGCACCACAGTCATCGATCACAAGGCGCTACATATGCATCAACAGGACGATGCATAACAACAGATTCGAAGAGAACAAGATTATTCCGTTCGACCCGAAATGAGATACCCTTCGCCCACAACCACCAACACGTGGGTAACGAAAGGTACACTTTTGATGTTCGCCGAGCGCCGTCCCGTTCTCCAAGTCTCCAAGAATCTTGGCAAGAGAGCGTTCCATAGTCGAGAAGACATACCAAGGCTGGGCTTGCAGACGAGAGTGTATGCGTAGGCCGAACGTGATTGCGGCGATTGCTATAAGTGGTCGAGTCAAAATTTGTCCTGTGACATCAAATGAGCGGAAATCGAACAATGCCATTCAATGCGACACTCGCAAAGTATACACTGAGGACATCGCGATTGCTACGAGGCCCGTTGAGATATGATACGAGCTTGAGGAAGAGAAGTCAGCGTCTCTGAGCGGCTTTCTTACACGAGACGTTATCACAACAATTGCTATTTTTCGCTGAGTACCTATCCGGATTCAAACTATGGAGCAGTCCCAAGATTTGGCGAACCGGCATGTGCAGGATGTTTAGGCCTAATTTGAGTACCCATAGGATCGTAGGATGTAGTATCCTGGATTCTTAGGGTATATAAACTGCATCGGCGTTGATTGTGCACTATAGGTCAAGTTGTATATTCATCTCCACCATTGTCTTTCGTTACACTACTTGAATAGGGCCTGTCTCCTGTTGTCGAATATGCGTACCTCAACAATCCTCACGGCCATCTCTTTGGCACAAGCTACGCTTGCAGCAATCGAGCCGAAAAGCTTTATCTTCATCATTCCCGATGGCATGGGACCCGTTTCCCAGACATTGGTCCGGACATATTTGTCTATGATTAACGGGAACTCAACCACTCGTGCTCCCCGAATGGGTGCTTTGCCTATCGATGTTACCGTCATCGGTAACACCAGAACTCATTCTGCCAACAACTTAGTGACCGATTCTGGTGCTGCGGGAACTGCTCTTGCTACCGGCTACAAGACTGAAAACGGAGCTATCGGTGTTACGCCCGATGGGAAGCCGGTCGGATCTGTGATGGAAGCTGCGAAGTTGGCAGGCTATCTCACTGGCCTCGTTGTGACTTCACCTATCAGTCACGCGACTCCCGCCGGTACAAATGACTCCCATCGTTCGTCAGATCACCGCTAAATATACCTAGCTTACTTCTCCCACTCTGTGAGCAGGAACGCTCTTGACAAGATTTCCGAACAGCAGATTGGTTATAGCCACCCTCTGGGCATCAGCGTTGATCTCATGCTTGGTGGTGGCCGCTGCTACTTTCAGCCTCGGAATGAATCCGACTCATGTCGCACAGATGACATCGATCTGTTCACGTATGCTGAATCGAAAGGCTACTATACTGCCCGCGATCGTGCCGGGTTTGACGCTCTCGAGCTTGGTTTAGGCAATATCCAGCTTCCATACGTGGGCCTGTTTAAGGATGGCGACCTCAGCTACGAAGTCGATCGCCAACAACAAGCCGCCGACGTCCGCGAACCATCACTGTCTGAGATGACGCAAGCTGCCCTCAACTCGCTCTCGCGAGCCAGCGCGTCCGACGACAAGGGTTACATCATGATGATTGAAGCTTCCCGCATCGATCACTCGTCACACGCACACGACTCTGTCGCTCATTTGCACGAAGTCCTCGAGTTTAACAACGTTGTAAACATGGTCATGAAGTGGATCGACGCGCATCCTGATACCGCATTCCTCGCTGTGGCGGATCATGAAACTGGTGGCATAACCATACCCTCTCAATACGATCCATCGCTACTCCAGCCTGGCAAGCATTCAGCCGAACATTTGAGCGAACTTTGGAGCGGCTACAACGGTACCGACAAGGCTGCATACCTCAACAATGAGATAATCCCTGCGTATGGCCTGACCAACGTCTCCGATGCGGAGATCGAGATCCTTCTCGCCGCTGGCGATGAATTTGCACAGGAACTTACCGACCTTCTGAATGACCGCGCGGGGCTCGAGTGGTCAACTGGTGGCCATACTGGCGTTGACACCACCTTGTATGGCTATGCTGCTGGTGGCATGGGCGACAAGCTCGTCTTGGACATGGCGGGTGGTTGGGACAACACTGACCTGCCCAAGTACGTTGCTGCCGCTCTGGGTGTGAATATGGATGAGGTCACGGAGCTGTTGAATGTCAACGGAACGGAGTGGGTGCCTAGGGATGATGAAGAAGAGCCAGAACGAAGGCGCTGAAGAGGGCTCTTCGCAGACCGCGCGAACTAGACTCGGCGAAACCTCGAATAGAACTCATATTTCTTTAAAGCTTACCATGTATGATGGGCGGTATAGTTGAGCTGACCTCGGACGGGATGGTGATGGCTGCAGTCCGGCTGACCTTGAACTTCAACGACTGGCGAGGTCATCTCGACACCGTAGAATTCTATCGTTTCATTACAGTTGCCGATCTTGGCACCTTCCCAAGATCAGATAAGTTTGCTGGCGACGTCGGTTACCGGAGTAGTCGCGTAGTTGAGCTGACCTTAGACTCGACTGAGTTGACCCCCGTCCAAGGTCAGCCGAACTATAAGCGAGGGTCAGCTCAACTATACCCCTGACGCACGGATCGTTCTTCTCAAGGTTCATGCATTACCGAGATCGTACCTTCCTAATCTGGTAGGTTCGCTGCACGCATCGATTGCAGCACGATTGCGCGCAGTTGAGCTGCTCGCGAATCCCAGCCACACCCAGCCTACTATTGTATCTGGTGCACTGACCTCTTTCTTTGAGCTTGTGTAGATAGCGTTAGTGTGTTAGGTAAGCGCGGCGCGAAGCTTCCCGTGATCGGAACATATTACTGAATCATCACACTGTACAAAGATCTTGAGGTTAGCGTCTGCAGTGGTCTTCCATCGGCTGGAGAAGGACGCATATTGCTGTATGGTTTGCAAGAGAGATTTGAGGGACTGGACAGTGATTGCAGGAGTGCGCACTGTGTGAAGTGGTTGTTAGTGGATATCCCAAAAGACAGAGGTTAAGAGACACATTATCTTCCCGAGTTACCCGACGAGGACTAGGAAAATCAAAGTTGGGATTCGAAAGCGAGGTTTCTCAAAAGAGATAGGCGAGAACTGGAACTAAAATGCGTCATCCCGCCGCGCCTACAGTCATTGCCGTACTTCTTGGGTTCCTCTTTTTCATGGTGCTCTGGAGTCGGGCACGCGACGATGGCCACCACGAGGGAAATCCCCATCCGGACGACCTACCACGAAAAAAGGAAAAGAAAAGACAACTCTCACTAAGCGAGGACGAATCCGATACAGCCGAACCTCGTCAGCAATATTGAGTCTCTGCCATCACGTTGTATCCCGAGAGTGGGTGTCGTTATAGCCCTGTCGAATTTTGGGCGCGAGTACCTCCCATGATACCTCTTTGGTACCACTTGAACCACCACCTGGATTATCATTGATCGAGACGGAAGACTAGGAAGCGGAGGATATAATGGAGGAACCGTACAGACAATGGCGACCTCTAACAGATGAGCACTGCAATATGCTCAGAGAAAAAATGCAAGATCGCGGTTTTGGTATTCAGCTTGCAGCTACAGTGCTATGGGGCAGGATACTAGACTATGGCTTGGGACTGTGTGAAAAAGCGTCCAGTCGATCAGCTAGTTGCTCCCACGAAGGCTCTCCCACCCTCGCCACACTTCGCAAACCCGCTGCCACGAAAGGGAAGAGCCTTGCAGACTCTCGATCTACCTGGTCAAGGTTCCTGCCCTCATTTTGGGACAGTAATACACCAAGATCTAGTAATTCGATGATTGCTTTATGGATTGGTTTCACGTCCTTCGAAAGCAGTGCTCGTTTTTGCAATTTCTCCATACAATGGACATGGATCTGAGACATCTCGTCGATGTCGTCGGCCTTCTCTATAGCCAAGTTCATGTCTCGTGTTGTCGAATACACAGCGGTCTCGGTTACGTAGGAACGCAGCACGTCCGCGAACCAATTCAAACGCTGAAGAACTCTGAAGAATACTACTGGCCAAGTCTTTCTGGATGCGCGAATGCGGGCGCGTTGTAGTTGATATTTGGTTCGGTAGATTTGCATCAAGAAGGTGAAAACCTCCTGGTAGATGGGTATAGACGAGCGCTGGACAATGTTTTGAATCGACCAAGAGACCTGGAAATAGTGTTAGCTGAAACGCAAAAGAGTGTTCTCTCAAAACATACTGCATAGTCCACAGAAATGGCAGCAAGACCCTTGACAGAGCTTCCATGCGACTTTGCTTTCATAGAACGAACGACAAGTTTCTCCACATCGGGCGTAGACAGGATCGTGCTGAATATTCCTCGTGCAAGCTCCGTGAGTACGTATCGATCGTTCCATCCTCGTCTGCCAGCATCCATGCGCTCAAAGACTGTAGTCGCAAAATCTTCAAAAACAGCGCCGTTCCTACCCAGGTACAAATACTCGAATACGTGCAGCACCCGCATTAGGCCATTTGCCTCGAAAATATGTTGACGAAGTACGGTTGAAGCGACTGAATACTTGCTACGGATCCATGTCTCGAACGCCGTTTGGAATAGTTCTGGAAAAGGCGAGAGGGGAACATCATCCGATGTACGGCAAACTGTTTCGCGGTCGAGGCGCGGCTCAACCACTGAGGAATGTAAATTCGTGTCGTGAATACCTAGTTCCTTTAAGAAAATGACACTTTTGCCGGTATTGAATATCTTTTTGACCGCCGGCTGTAAAAATGAAGGCAGCTTTAGGCCTTCTTCAGGATCACGGCGGAGCATAAAGCGATCGTGCCACAAAGAGGCAGTATCACTCTTTGCGTCGTTCGAGATGACGAAGAAGTTTTCTTCATCGGGACCGAGCTCGCCAATTTCCATCCATCGTCGTATCGGCTTTAGATACGTTTGTAAACACTCGAAGAATACTTCAGCCATGTATGTGAAGATTTCGTCTTCCAGCGTCATCTGCGCAAGAGTGGTCTGCTCGTACAGCGCCTCGAGGTGATAGAAAGGGTTTCCTGGTACTGATGGATCTAGATTCATCATCAATTGATTCAGACCGCTGACAATAGGTGCTAGGCGTAAAATGGAATAACACAATGCTTGTACGTCGCCGTGTAGCGACAATAAACTGACGGGGAGTGGGGCGTCAGGTATCAGATGTCGTTGCTGCATCGTAGACAAGGACTGGTCGAAGTAGAGTAATCGTTTTCGTACGGCGGCCTCGAAGGTTTGAATAAGAGGTGATGCTGGTGGCTGCTTAGTTCGCTGCTGCAGCGTCCAACGTCGCATTGCTTCTATGTGTGTGCCAATGTTGGCCAACTGGGAAAGAAGATGTGCAACCGCGGCTGATTGATTGTTGTCAACCAGGTAGGTCGAATTGGGGCAAATGTTGTTCATGTTGTCGGTTCGGTACAGGCTCGTCTTCAGCCCACCAAGCATAAACAGTGTCTCTCGTACGGTCTGCAGTTCCGTTATACACATGTCGCTGCTTCCTCCATTCACGCTTGATGTCCAAAATTGCGTTTCCTCCAGTCTCGCAACGAGATCTTTGTCTGTCGACGTCACACAGGCCTCCGGATCGAATGTATCATCTTCATCGAAGCTGGTCGGCGGTGTGCTAGGAGCCTTCCTGCGCTTCTTGGGTATCTTTTCGTCGCCCGAAGAGTCCGCGCCATAATCGATGTCCTTCCAGATATCTTCATCGCTGTACGGATCATCTTCTAGTATCTCCGCCCATGTCAATGGTGGAGGGGGGCTAGGCGGCCTAAGCAATTCAAGCGCTTCGACCTGGGTGTTCTCCAAGGGTCGATCGGCTAGCTGAAGTAGTAGAGATAGGAACTCTGGCTTGTACTTGTTCGTGTATCCTTCCAACTTTTGGAGACGCGTTTGTAGCGCATCGGCGAGATCATCGCGGTTCTTAATACGAAACTTCTCGTCAAGTCCTTTAAAGGTAGCCGTGACGTCGAATTGATTCGTTCTTGCGTACTGATGCCCTCGAAGATTGCGTGACGCGATCTCTTTGGCATGTCTGTAGGCCTGTTTATTTGCAGCTGGGTCGTGTCTCAGTATGGACTGTATCAACTCATCCGTGAGGCCCGAGATTTTCGCGTTTTGGGCCATGATAACGCGTCCTTCATCTGCCGTCCCGCGACGACGCCGACGGAGATAGTGTCTCGGTAGTAGCGATATCGTGGTGTTGATTTGTGGCGGTTGCTTCGGGTTCCACATGACAGATACATCATGCCTGATGCAGACTAGCGGCCCTCACGCACCGCGTCACCGCTGTGAAACTCAAGTGTTGAACGCTCCTGCGACTTTTTTGAGGCGGGACATTGTCCCAACCCCTCAGCCACCGCACCTGCTCTTCACCATGGCGCTTCCCAAGGGCATGCGCTACTTGGCTGGCGCCACTTTCTGCATCTTCATCTACCTGTTCGTGCAGATCCTCAAGGCGCCAGGTTCCGAGACACCCGTCGAGATTCCGAGCAAGCTTCCGACCAACAAAGTCGGCGATTGGGACCACGACCCTCAGTTAGATCGTAAGATACCATACCATGTGGTGCGGACCCACCAGACATACTGACTGAATGATCAGCCTCCGGCGAACCTCCTGAGCCGCTGCGACGAGTTGACGGCAACAACTACGCCCCGAACAATCCCACAAGCGCGCGCATCAACGCCACAATCCTTAGCCTGGTGCGCAATGAAGAACTCCAAGACATGCTACAGAGCATGCGCGATCTCGAGCGCACATGGAACCACAAGTTCAATTACCCCTGGACCTTCTTCAACGATAAGCCCTTTACTGAAGAGTTCAAAAAGGCCACGCGAGCAGCCACCAATGCTGAAGTGCGATACGAGCTAGTCCCTGCCGAACACTGGGACGTACCCTCGTGGATCAACATGGACTTGTATGAGGAGTCTGTTTCTCTGCTCAAGTCGCTGGACGTGCAATACATGGACAAAAAGTCGTACCACCAAATGTGTCGGTGGAACAGCGGAATGTTCAGCGAGCATCCTGCGCTGAAGGACATCCAATACTACTGGCGCGTGGAGCCTAACGTTCACTTCTTCTGCGATGTCGACTACGATGTCTTTGCATGGATGCAGGACCACAACAAAACATACGGATTCAATATCAACATTTACGACAGCCCCGATAGCGTCGCGACATTATGGCCCGAGACAAAGAAATTCATCGAGGATAATCCAGGATACGTTCATCCGAACAATGCGCGAGAGTGGTTGGAAGACGACAAGCGACGGCCTGAGAACAACCAGAAAGCACACGGGTACTCAACCTGCCACTTCTGGTCCAACTTCGAAATCGGCGACCTGAGCTTTTGGAGAAGCAAAAAGTACCGTGACTACTTCGACCATCTTGATCGTGCTGGAGGCTTCTTTTACGAACGCTGGGGCGATGCGCCGGTACACAGTGTCGCATTAGGATTGTTCGAAGATAAGAGCAAGATACATTGGTTCCGAGACATCGGATATCAGCACATACCCTTCTTCAACTGCCCGAACAGTCCAAAGTGTTCTGGCTGTGTTACTGGTCGGTTCACAGACGGTGAGAAGTGGTTGAACCGGGAAGACTGTCGACCGCTGTGGTTCAAATATGTTGGCATGGACTGAGCTCTTCTTCTTAGACAGCATTGCCCTCTATCTTGTACGATCGTCTGTAGCTAAGCCACCTACTGTGTGTAGCAGCAGTGACCGTGGTTGGTGCCAATATATGCACTCATGCGGTGGGAACCCCTGGAGACCTCGGAGTTATTTGGTATCCAATTATGAACAGCTTTCATCTTGATACGACGCATTTACATTCAATAGCACGTATACCACTAGACGCAATGAGAATTTATGAAGATACTCTGAAACTGAGCATTGCATTAGACGTTGCGGAAAGACTACAATAAGATACCCATTATTACTGAATTTTCACTTTGAATCCACTAGGCGAGATACACTTTCCGGGCAAAAAACCCGTCCCCACCCGCTCGTATACCCTGCTTCCAGCCCGCCCTCTCTGTGCTGCAATCATCAATATGTAGTGTCTCTGTGTCTCAGGTGAGGGGCTGCCTTTCGCCTTGCCAAGCACAACGCACAATGTATCTGGTTTCGCTGACCCGTTCGGCGTATCGAAGATCAGTTCGCCCTCGCCCTGTACCGCAGCACCGAGATCGTACTCCCGCGCTATAGCTTCGAGCGCTATATTGGCCAGGTTGTAGTCAGTGCTGGATACGTTGGTAGGGGTTTTCGGTGACCACGGTGATTGCAGGTCCTCCCACTCATAGCATCCGAAGTCAGGCTGTAAGTAGTCGATTCCGCCAGTGTATGCCATCCATGACCACGATGGTACAGTAGACACAACGCTCTGTGGGGGGAAGTGAATGCGACTCAAACTTGGGGTGTCAATACCGCGACGCCAGAGAAGACTCCTTCTGAGGAGGCCACGCGTTACTCCTTCATCGAAGACACCAAAGCCACCGCTTACTCGCATTGTGCGGAGGAGGCGTTGTTGAAGCCCATCAATAGCGGTTGGTCGATCATATGGCTCCGAAAGACCCAGGCGGGAGTATTCGCGGTAAAGTTCTTGGTATCGCAAAATCTTCTCGCCTTGACTCGCGTTGTAGAGGATGTGTGGAAAGTCCGGATCTCCTAGAAAGGCAGCAAGCTTACTGTGGTCTTCAATTAGCCCATCAAACATCAAGCGATGGCGTGTGGCATATTTACTTACTTGCTCAATTTTGTAGAGGTTTCGCAACGTACGCCATCCCTACATTCGAAGTATGTCTGGTGTTCGGTGAAAAAGAGGGTTCGACGAGCCAAAGCATGCTCCTGATAAACCCAGCCGCGACGGTTCAGATCCCCATCGAGTACATGGTCCTTGAAATTGTCGATGGTTTGGCAGACATAGAAAGGTGTTTGGCCTTTGCCTTCGGGACTTAACCCGACATAATTTCGGCCCTTGCGCTGCTTGAGAAATCCTGAAAAATGGTTAATTGCGCAGCTCGCAGCAATCACACAGTATGCGCCACTGTAGACGTCTTCCATTCGTTTCGCTTCGGTCTTGAAGTCGCCATCCGGACCTTGGATGACACAAAGGGAATCAATCCATAGGTAGCGACGCCCCAAAGCACGAGTCACTGTCACGGCGTCTTTGAAAGTGGACGGAAGGCTATTCAGATCGATGCCGTTGAGATGTGACTGCAGGGTTTTGGTCGTAGTCGAGAGATGCTGAGATCCCCATCGATGCGATAACGCGATCCACTCGCCAGAATCTTTCGGAGTCGTGGCCCATAGTCGAACAGTATTGTCTCCAGATTGTCCAACGTCGATCAACCTTGTTGGCAACCTAACCTTATCTCCATCGGCAGCGAGTCCAAGCGGCTTACATGTGTGTTGTCTATCGCAGTCGTTGAGCCAGTACTTGATGACCTCCATATGTGTAGATTGCCCAGCCTCTGGAAGTCTAACAAATCCAGTCTGAAACTCGCTCGTTGGGGGCAGCATTTGCTCAGGATCTCGAACGATGGACAATATACGAGGGCCAGTGCTCTCCAGTCTCAAGAAAGGTCCTGTCCGTTCGAACTTGACAGCCTGCGAATCTACTCGGCCGTTTTGAATAACAACTTGCCATAGGAGGCTGCACAGGTCACATTTCCTCTCGCTGGCGCTTGCTCTAAGGGAGTGTGTTTCGTATGAGATCGCAAACCCTGGACTGGAGACTTCGTTGCGGAATTGTAAGCATTGGTCACAGAGGCGGTTTGATACAGTGCGATCAGACGACTCGAGTGTATCCGAGTGCTGTAGAGATTCGAACATAGCAGACGCAAATTCGTTGCCGGATTGGTACTTCCAGTCGTTTTCATCGAGCTCTGGAGTTCCATAATCATTCTTCGGAGAGCCATGTTAGTTAGACTGAGCAGATATGCTTCGGGGTTAAGAACTTACTCCATTCTGTATTGATACTTCACGATCTTGTGCTTGGTAACCTTCTCCTGAGTCGCAATCTGATAACAAGGGTGGCAAAGCGGAAAGGGAGAATGATCCTTTGAGGTCTCCCGGCCTGTGCTGGTCGAGAGGTTGTGCGTACCAATAGCTTTCATCTTCGTCTTCTCCATTAATCGTCTCAATGCGAGTGCGGAAATCAGTTGCGAGACAGCGAGCAGGCCCTCGGGATTCAGGTTCTGGCTGTACAGGGATTTTGTCGGGTTCGGGTTCCGCAGGAGTGAAGCTGAAAGAAGGAATGTCTATTGCAGGCTGTACAGTGGAGTCGATGGCACTTTCTTCAGAGACAATATCTTGCGGCGTTACCCTGGTTGCGTTCATGCCAGAATCTACAAATGAATCTGTGCGCGATCTTTCAGGGATGTCAGAAAGGGTCGTGCCAAGCCTTCGTGGAAGCTTCACAACTAGCAAAGCTGTTCGTACCAGCTCCAAAAGATCACCGATCGCTGTACTGCCCACCTGACACCTGGAATCTTCTGCCATTTGGTCCATCCAGCGTACAGCAGCATCATGTACTTGGGCTACCTTTCTCCCGTTCACGACACTGGTCTGGTAGAAGCTACCGAAGCCCAACTCACGGTCGAAACGGCCGAGACCTTCGGCTCCGTAGAGAAGCCATATAGTGAGTTCCAACGTGATGCAGCCCATTGCCCAGATATCGTACAGTCGTGAACGTCGCTTTGTTGACTGGCCCAACCACTTGGGAGTAACACCAGTTTCCACCTCTGGTGCCTCATAACGACGAGTTCCGTATTTTGCTGTAGTCTTACTAGGACGCATCTCAGTGGCTTGGCCATGTTCTCTAGCTTCGCCCCAGTCACCGATCTTGAGAGTGCCAATCAATCCACCTTTGTTGAAAACGAGGATATTCTCGGGTTTGAGATCGCCATGTCGGTACGAAGCACCAGTCGCGTTCAGGTTGTGAGCGGCGTCAAGTGCTTTAGCAAGTCCTAGAACTTGTTTTATGACGTCTTTGACTAACGGCGCGGTCAAAGTGGGTGAAGGCATATTCTTCCAGAGATTGCGAAGGTTACCGCCGTCTGCCCATTCGAACATTAGGTAATGTTCGTCTCCTCCATGTTGTCTACGACGCCGAAACGCTGTGATGAAACGGACTATATGCTCTTGGTCCAATCTGTTCATCGTTCTCAGGGCTTTGACTTCCTTTTCCCAATGTTCAGCTACTTCTTGAGCATCTTCCGTAGCCTGGATCTCTTTTACAGCGAAATACGAGTCGTCTTGAAGTGCCTGTCTACGTCAGCAGATTTCGTGCGAAGACATGTGTAGTATCAAGGGCCGTACTGGTTCCATATGATTTCGATGGACTAAATATTTCGAAACCACACCAAATGAGCCTCGTCCATCATCGCCACCTTTTGATGTGAAAGGAAGTATACAGGACTCTTCAAGGTCGAGATTGTATTTGGCGGTTGAGAAAATAGCCGCGTAAAATCTCCATTGGTGCTCAATGAGATCGTTGTACCATGACCTTTTGGACCAAATACTGTTAGGATCGGTGATTGGCAGGTCGTTGTCATCCAAATTCTTCGATTTGAAATAGGCCATCATTCTCTTAGGGTTTTCCACTTTAGCCCATAGGGCTATCGCGAAAACCTTCGATGCTCGTGTCTTGACGAAGTCGATCAACTCATCTTCTGCTGGGGTTGGATTCGCGATGTGCAACACGTCCTTGATTGTTTGCACTGTAACCAATCCGCTCAAGACTCCTTCAGGAATAAAATAACAACAGGTTCTCTCGAATGTGCTTTTCTTTTGTGCAAAGGACAGCGATTTCCTGAAACATTGCTCCTTTGTTTCTTCTTCGTCTGAAGAATCGCTATCGGCCATGATCGGGAAACGGATATAATGACGAGTTGGCGTAGGAAAAATTGAATCCTGTAATATCTGTTGATAAGGGTGAAGTGGGCGGAAGTTGATACGGGTTCAGGGTTTCCAGCTGATGATCTGAGTCTGCGGCTGAACTAAGGCCTGGTAGACAGAGACGAGACACGCGAAAGCTGCTCGGTCGGCTTCCAATACATAGCCGAGGAGGAGGTCTGTATTTGATGTGACAACATGCAAATGGGTCCTTCGACGACGTCCAAGTAGGCAACGAGGCAAACTCCCTTCATTCAACTGAACGATTCAACAGGAAACACAGCCGATGCATCGTGAAGCGGCGCAGCAAAGCGCATAATGTTTCAACATCATCTTAGGGGTACGCCGATATTGCGAACAACCTGCAGTCGCTTCCAATACTTCCAATCGAGCCTGCAGCGTTGCAGCAGATAGCAACGCTGGGGCGCGAAACGTGGGGGGTGGCGTTTTTGGCCCCAGTCTGGTAGAAAGTAATATGTCATAAGATCGCGTGACATTTCGCAATCGTGCTTGATGTTGCGCTAGAGCAGGGCTAACAGATACAGCAGTATACACAGCCGTGTATCCTAGGTACCATCAACACAAGATCATTGTCAAGTGAAGACGTTCGGGTGAGATAGCCTCGCACCTCGCAGCCCAGGCACTGCCCCACTTCGCCTCCGTACTTAGCGCTGCCCCCTGACATCTCCAGGGCTGCGACCCGCTGCTCCTCCTTCCCACCTTCCCAAGATCATCACAGCACACCCGGATACGATTCGATCACACGAGAAATTGAACGACTGCAACATTCGCCATGCTTTGTACATCTGTACAGTATCCGCGAGCTCTAAGTATTTATAGTTGGTTTCTGTTATCGGCACTCCTCGATATCGTCCTATGCAACGTTAGACACGGCGGCTGTGGGCATGAACTAAGATCATCGAACTTACCGCTGTAAGCAGCCCAGGCGCTTTGATACAGTACACATTATGCATCATCTGGTGTCTAGGATTAGTAAACTCCAACTTCGCCGTTCTGTAGGAATCTACCCACATGAATCTCGAACTCCGATCCAAACTTCAGTCTTAGCTTGTCCATCAACTTTCCTGGGTCTATGTCCATGACGTCAATTGGTTGAACGCTGCTTCCGCTGGGATGCGCCGGTTGCTCTGGGTCCGAAAATGTTCGTTTTTTCGTTGGGGAATTAGCGGAAGGCAAGAGCTTCTTAAGAGCAGTCATCGTTTGAACGGAAGCTTAAAGATGAAGATACATGTCGTCGGATTGCAAGAGTTGCCCTGAACGCGCTGTTATACTCGGCGCTCTGTTGCCCGGTAGGCTGAGCTCTTTGTTGACATGGCGTTGTTACTCCAATCCGGCGTACGTCAAGCACCAATCACACTTGTACCCAGTACACCAACTCCGTTAGCGGCTGAGGCATGTTGAAGGCGTAGATGTCACCCGTCTGCCTCTTTCAGCTTCACCAGTCTTGTGAACCGGGCAACCCGAGGTATGGACATTTTACCTAACATAGCCCCAAGTGTGGCGGCAGCTGACAGGTTGAAGCGGATGGCTTATATCTCGTACTCTGGCCTCAGATGTTCTCAGTCACTACGAGTGAGGCAGTCGGATTCTAAGACCGCGCGCTATGACCTTGCCAGTAGAGGGATCAGACCGGTATATCGGGGCATAGGTAAAACTGGGGGTTAGTTCGCTCAGTGTATGGATTAGCGGCATGGTGAAGAATGGTCATATTGTGGTCATGCAAATTTGAGCCTGTGCCACCTGCAGGGGTATCGCAATCCCGCAATCTTGGACCCCACACCCAATCGCTTCTTCGAGGAGTGCTATGCCTGAGGAAGCTTTAAGGTTAGGAGATCAACTCGATTTGTTGACATGTTTGTTGCTCCAGTGTTTTCCTTGCCTTAGGATTCGTTGGTCGTCATGCTCGGCCACAAATTCTGAACACCGCTCTAATGTACCCGTTAGGCCAGAAACTCCAGGAAAAATTGCTGAATCCAGTGCCACGCAGCAGACGTGCGTCAGCAAGCGCGTCCACAAGCAATAAAGAGCGAGCTCACCGGGTAGACAACCCCACCGGAACCGCTACTCGAGGTGCGTTGTTAGTGCAACAAGTTTCAGGCTCAATGGCTGACGCAGTCATATAGACCCACAGCCAAAGGCCCGCCCATTAAGTGTGCCTTTGTTTAGTCAAGGTTCGGATACATACGCATATGCTAAGTTCAGCCCTCTAACGAGACCATTAGGAGACTTGGTACATCGTCCATCTGGTGCCGCTAGCTTACGCTGGAGTTCAAGCAGTCTAAAGACTGCTCAGTCTGTCGCTGATGGCTACACCAAGGAAGTCAGAGATTTCAACATTGCCAGGGGAACAGCAGAGAAGATAGAGCAAACAAAAGACTCATTCGTCAAGCAACGGCATGCGCAGCCCGATTCTGGCACCTTTACAGCAGTCGTGTTGGCTCAAAGATGGTTGGGAAGATTACGACTCCAAGATCCTCACCCAATGACCAGGAAGCTTCAGCAAGCTTCACAAACCTCTTATCGCCAACAGAAGTTTATACCAGAGTCGCAAATCCGAGATATCGTGCGAGATGAAGTTATCCAAGCTGAACTCTCCAAGTCAAACAAGTCCGTTGGCAAGCCGTCCAGAATGTTGAAAGCTCCGGTCGTTTCCAAGAATTACGAGTCATACAGGAAGATACTTGCAATACTATATCTCATGAAACGACCTTCTAAGATCCGACTGTTTGTCAAGGCCGGGCTTTGCGATGACCAACTTCCCTTCAAAAAGGCTCAGCACCTGGGTAGGTTTGATCGGTCAGCTACATTAACTAGTCGAAACACACCTGGTTCTGCCAACATAAAGTTTACAAGACCAGAAGATGCCGATGAGTTTCTGGACCGACAGTGGTCAGTACTTGCGCCTGTTTTTTCCGGATCCGATGGAATTGTCCCACATGACGACTTCGAGTGTGAATCGATCTTACCATTCCTCCCGGAAACAACTATCGCGAAAGAGGGGGGCTCTAGCAAGGTATTTAAAGCCAAGATTCATCCTGACCATCATAACTTATGTCAACCGAAAGTAAGTTTTGACTACACCTGACTATGATGCAAAATAACTAACAGACCTCGCAAACTAGGGTGGCCTCAACATTTATGCAGTCAAGACATTGAAGTCAAAAGATGACAGAGCCTTTCGCCAAGAGGTTACTGTTCTGAGAAGACTCAGTACCAGCAAGCATGCTCATGCTCACCTCATCACTTTACTAGCCACCTATAAACAAGGCGCAGCATACCATCTTATTTTCCCATGGGCCGATGCCGATCTTTTCGATTATTGGAAGCGACGTCAAGAGGCGCCCCCAGAACATGACCAGACAGGTGCATGGGTAATAGAGCAATGTCGAGGGCTTGCAGATGGACTCAACAGCGTCCATCGTTATGCGACATTCTCCGGGACGTCTATCCTTGACGCTTTCAAACTTTCCAGCAGGACTGAGACAGATAGACACCATGCCACCTACACTGGTAGTGCAAATGCCGATCGTTCGACCAGAAATCTGTTTGGCCGTCATGGTGATCTGAAACCACAGAATATCCTCTGGTATCCAGATTCCCAGACTACGGGTGGTCATGGCGTCCTGAAAATTACCGACTTTGGAGTGACTCGGTTCAATACAGAGAACATGTGGGATACCCAGAAGACTGGTAAATTGCCGAACTCGCCTACCTATCGGTCACCAGAGAGTGATCTTGACGGCAAGCTTACTACTGCTTGCGATGTTTGGGCCCTCGGATGCGTATACCTGGAATTTGTCGCTTGGTATTTTGGTGGTTACAGACTAGTCCAAAGGTTCGGCGAGCAGCGGTTGGCACCTGATCCTCGTATGGCGAACATGCGAACAGACACTTTCTTCACGATAGTCGAGAGAGAAGGTGAGAAAACAGCCGACGTGAAGCCAGCGGTCCTCAAGGTAAGCCTGAGATCTCCATATTCACGTGTTATTACTATTTATGCCCGAATCACTCTTTGGACATATTGCGGAGCGGCCTTGAATTTAGCTGTTCACACCTCACCACCACTAACCTATCACAGGTGATTGAAGAGCTGCGAGAACATCATCGCTGCACAGGAGACTATAGCAACTTTCTTGACATGATCAAGGATGATATGCTAGTCACTCACTCACCAGAAGCGCCGGGCAGTGTAGATGGGAGCTTGATACTTCAGAAATCAGTTTCAGAACCAGTTGGTACCCCACGCTTGGGATATATCCGACGAAAGAGTTGTGGGGATGTGTTTCGTAGATTGGGCGACATCAACCCTCGTTCTGACCAGGAAGAACCAACTTCCCCTATAACCCAGTCACATCGCACATGGCCACAATGGCAGCCATGAGTCGAGGAAGTGCTGTTGCCAAACAGGCGGTTGGGTAGGTGACGTACTACCAATTATTAGCCTGACAACGAGTAGCTATAGCAACAAGAGTGCGTCTGAGTAAGATATAAGATACAAAACTCGCGACAAGTTGTGCTAACAAAGACTTAGGTATCTGCGCATCTTGATGTTGGACCTCACTCGTACGGTGTGATGCCGAACTGTCCATTTGCTGCCCACTGTCCAAGGTACCTGAGTATGGTGGGGCCAGTGGGCCGACAATACCCGCAGGCAGGTATCTCCGCGTATAGCGGGGAAATCGATACCAGGCAACAGGGAAGCACACCGACATCGGGTTAACAACGGAAGACAACTAGGAGTCAGATCTCTATCACTAAAAGAGTCCAAAGGTTATCAAGTGCAAAGGAAGTGACCAACCGGACGATATCAAACCAACCGTCTCGCTAGATTCGGCCCTTCCGTCAAGCACCATGACTTTCACTATCCTCTCCGACGCTGACGTTCAGACCCTCCTTCATAACATCTCTCAATCTGACGTCCAAGAATTGGCGTCTGCTCTCAACCAAGCTCTCATCCAATATTCTTGCAACGATGAACTTCCCTACCAACCACACCGCGCCAATGTCACTCGACCAAATGGTCAAGTCAGCCTCTTCATGCCCGCAACGACACCATCATCTATCGGCGTAAAGATGGTCGGTGTCGCACCATCTCAAACGCCTCCGCCTGGAGAGAAGCCCAAGCCTGCATTGCGGAGTGTCCTTACCATTTGCGATGAGTTGGGTCAGGCTGTAGGCGTGTTAAATGCAGCTGAGTTGACGGCATTTAGGACGTCGCTGGGTAGTATGTTGTTGTATCGGTACCGGAAGAAGACAGAAAACATCATTGTATTTGGAGCGGGGAAGCAGGCGGAGTGGCACATACGCCTTGCTATTCTTCTCAAAGGGGACGACATCCGAAAGATCACGATTGTAAACCGATCCAGTGCAAGAGCAAAGGACCTAGTAGACTCACTCACACAGTCGAAAGTGGGGTCCCATATCAAGATGGAAGTTTTTGAAGAGAAGGAGAATGGTTTGGAAGACTTGATCACCGAAGCAGATGTCATGTTTTGCACGACACCCAGCACATCTCCCTTGTTCCCTGCCTCATACCTTTTGTCCGACTCTGGTCTTAGTAAATCCCGGTTCATCTCTGCGATTGGCTCCTATCGTCTGGACATGCAGGAGATTGACCCCGAACTGCTTAAGCATATCACCAACCCTTCCGGCCCTTTTGCGTCTCAAGTGCACCAAGGGTATATTACAGTCGATAGTATCAAGGGATGCATGGATGAGGCTGGCGAGTTGGTGGCCGCTGGATTGAAACCAGAACAGATGCTCGAGGCGGGGAAGATAGACGGGTTGAGAGAGGATGAAGGTGTACAGAAGTGGCTTGAGGAAGGATTTGTGGTATATAAGAGCGTTGGAGTAGGTATCATGGATATCGCAATTGGGAAGTCATTGATGGATTTAGCTGCGGAGAAGGGTGTGGGTGTACATTTGGATAGCTTTTGAGGCGGCCTGGGATGGATGGGGTTGTCGACTAGTACGGTAATGATAAAGTCAATATGCTTGAAAATATATTGTGGTGCTATCCGTTCGACGTGTTAAAGGCTTTATCTATGGTTGCTATGTATCCCGCTCACAACTTCGCCTTAACGCTTTCCTCGACAAGGTCTTTCACCCTTTCCGCTACCCCAAAAGCATATAGATACCCCAATCCACCAACGCCATACGCATGCACTACGTGACCCTCTCTCTCCAACCTCAGGCCGCCTTCTCTCGCAGGTCGGAACCCCACGATATCCTCACCATGTTTGTTTAGATCAACCCAGTCGAACTTCCCGTTAGTCATCGTGTTGACGCGTTCAAGAATGTCCGGTCGCAAACTCCTGTCTGGCTGAGTCTGAGTGTTGGACGGTTGACTGACGCCACCCAAGATTATGCCGCCATCTGACGAGCGAGGAATGCAATACGTGTAATGAGAGCCTTGATGTAGGATGGCTTGGTCTAGCAGAGAAGATCTTCCAGAGGTTGCGCAGTCGACAAACATTGTTTGACCGCGGATACCGTAGACGGTGGGGTCGATTGCAAGACCTCGTGCGCCTATACCGCTGGCGTTTACCACTATATCTGCTGCGGTTAGGTCTTGTAAATCCTGCATAGAGGATACAGCTTTTTGGATGAACTTGACTCCTCGATTCCGGAGTTGAATTGTTAGCCAGGGGAGGATGTCGTTCGGGTTGACGACGAGTCCATTGTAAGAGTAGCCTAGTGTAACGCCAGGGGGAAGTTGAGATTCTTGGAGCATCTGGAAGTTTTGCATATAAGGTCTGTACCACACAGGTGCTGTTCGGGGTCTATCATCGTAGTATTCGGTTATGCGAATCCTCTTACTCTAGATTCAGTAAATGTTTAACCGGGTTTAGAAGTAGCTAACCTTTACTCCACTTTCCGGGACCGTATCTAGAAGATGGCTGTAGAAGTTGATTGATGCCAGTTGGAGATCATTGAAACCAGTGTTAGGATGTGGTGCTAGGAGGGCACCTGCCCTGCAAATGTCGACCAGGTTAGTGACATGTCATGGTAGAGTCGAAGCCATAGCTGACTGACCATGGACTAGCCCATTCAGTAGACTTGTCGCCATATAAGTTTCGCGCTACAATGGTGACTTTGTTGCCAGCTTCCAAGAGCAGGTAGGCACACGCGAGGCCTGTAATACCAGCACCGGCGATGGCGATGTGCTTAGGCATTGTATACGATGCAGTTTAGCTATGAGACAATAAGATGTATAAGAAGTGAAGGAACAAGAAACGCTGCTGTCTTGTCTACCTCACGATTGTAGTTAGCGCTTGGTGTTTGGGTAGTTGATATACCGACACCGACACGCTTATCATGTCCCATAATTGTATGCGCGTATGGACGCTGGTCAAACGGGTGCCGATTATAGCCGACAACATCGAATCAGCACAACGACTAATGTATTTCGGAATTGTATACAGCATTTCCCGTCGGGCTTCCGTCAAGGTATGGTCTTCTTAACCGGGTTGCATATCATTGCGATGTCGGGCCAGGAGAGAGATATGTACGTTCGCGCCCAATCGTGGTAGATTTCGGCGGCGCCTTCTAAGAGCGCAGAAGAAAAGATGGAATACTAGAAACTCGCAGCATAGCCGGAGACGTGCAGGAGATTTGCGCAATCGCGCTGTGTCTAATGGACACTAAAGCGAGAAGTTGCCCTCTATGGAGTGTACATCGGAGGAGGACAAGGATGCGGCGGCAGTGACGCGCGCCGATTTTTTTTTGTGAAAGTTTCCCCTCCCCCGCCATCCATGTGAAGACGGCCGTGATCGCTCTTGTCTTCGGACACCCGCGATATCGACTCGAACAAACCGATTAGGCGTCACACAAGATGGCGTCAAACGAGGACCCATATCTCATCCTCCCGGGCTCGTCGGCCTACTCCGACTTCCGTCTCCAGCGCCTAGCCCAGGCCATTGGCGCAAAGGAAGTGCGCTCGCTCTGGGTGCACTTTGTCAACCCCCTCAAGCAACTCAGCGACGACGAGTTGAAGACACTGCAGCAACTCCTCCACTATGGCGAGTACCCCAGCAGCGACGACCGCCTTTCCCAGGCCCTCCTCGACGCCGTCCACCGCGGCGGCGAACCTCGCGACGCCAACACGGTCCTCTTCTACGTCTGCCCACGGGCTGGCACCATATCGCCATGGAGCTCCCTCGCCTCCATGATTGCGCGCACATGCACCCTTGAGAATGCAGTCAAGCGCGTCGAGCGCGGCATGGTCATCGCCGCCACCTTCGACCGCACCCTCGAGGCCGACGAGATCCCCAACCGCGACCACCTCTACGACCGCATGACGCAGACGATAAGCCGCACCGCCCCGAATCTCGATGCCATCTTTGGTGAGAGCGAGCCGGCCCAGGCGACGACCATCAAGTTCGACGAGTACAACAGCGCCCACGCCGCCCTGGACCACGCCAACAGGGAGCTGGGCCTGGCTATGGACAAGTCCGAGATTGACTATCTCGTCGAGGCCTATACACAGGAGCTGAAGAGAGGCCCGGTCGACGTCGAATTGTTCATGTTTGCCCAGGTCAACTCGGAGCACTGCCGACACAAGCAGTTCAATGCCGAGTTCACCGTCGACGGCATGCGCAAGTCCATGTCGCTGTTTGGCATGATCCGCAACACCCACCAGAAGCACCCCAACCACGTCGTAAGCGCATACAGCGACAACGCTGCCGTCTTGAACGGCGAGGAGGCCAGCTTCTGGGCGCCCAACGATCTCACAGGCGAGTGGCACGGCACCAAAGAGACGGTACACATCCTCTGCAAGGTCGAGACACACAATCACCCGACCGCCGTTTCACCGTTCCCGGGAGCGGCTACGGGCTCTGGAGGTGAGATTCGAGATGAGGGAGCTGTCGGAAGGGGTTCCAAGCCCAAGGCCGGACTGGCAGGCTTCACTGTGTCTGACCTGAACATCGAGGGCTTTGAGCGCCCATGGGAGCTGAAAGATGTCGGAAAGCCTTCGCACATCGCCAGTGCCCAGGACATCATGCTCGAGGCACCCATCGGCAGCGCCCAGTTCAACAACGAGTTCGGTCGCCCATGCACCACGGGCTACTTCCGCACCATGCTTATGCGCGTCTTCACAAACGAGAAGGAGTCAGAGTTACGAGGATACCACAAGCCTATTATGCTAGCAGGTGGTGTCGGAACGGTCAGGCCACAGCACGCGCTCAAGGACCCGGACGTTGTACCAGCTGGCTCGCATCTCCTCGTCATCGGTGGACCCGCCATGCTTATCGGTCTCGGTGGCGGTGCGGCATCCAGTATCCAATCCGGCGAGGGCAAGGTCGATCTCGACTTTGCCAGTGTGCAGCGAGGCAACCCCGAGGTGCAGAGACGTGCGCAAGAAGTCATCGACGCATGCCGCTCAATGGGCGACAAGAACCCCATCCTCTTCATTCACGATGTCGGAGCGGGTGGTCTGTCAAACGCACTTCCCGAGCTCGTTCACGACTCTGGTCTTGGTGCCATCTTTGAGCTACGCGAGATAGACAACGTTGACAAGAGCATGAGCCCACTGCAGATCTGGTGCTGTGAGGCTCAAGAGCGGTATGTACTTGCAGTCAGTCCTGATCAGCTCGACCTGTTCAAGCGCATCTGCCACCGAGAGCGATGCGGTTACTCCGTTGTTGGCAAAGCGACCAAAGAGCAGCGTCTGGTGCTGAATGACAGGGACTCCAAGGAGAACCCTACACCCATCGACCTTCCAATGGCTACACTGTTTGGAAAGCCACCAAAGATGTCGCGCATTGTTGAGAGCCGCAAGCTGAGGCTTCCTGCTTTTGACAGCAGCTTGTCAATGTACATCCCTGACACGCCTAAGGATGGCTTGGTCGCTGAGGCCGTAGACCGAGTTCTCACTCTCCCAGCTGTAGGATCCAAGTCTTTCCTTATCACTATTGGAGACCGAACTGTGGGCGGCCTTACCGCTCGCGATCAGATGGTTGGCAAGTGGCAAACCCCGGTGGCTGATGTATCGGTAACAGCTACATCGCTGCTGGCTGGTGTCAAGACTGGCGAGGCTATGACTATGGGTGAGAAGCCTACACTGGCGCTCATCTCCCCAGCAGCATCCGCCAGGATGGCTGTGGCGGAATCTCTGATGAACATCGCTGCAGCGAGTCTCTTCGATAGGCTTGCCAGAGTCCGACTCTCGGCCAACTGGATGTCCGCAAGCAGTCATCCCGGAGAGGGTGCAGCTCTGTACGAGGCTGTTGAGGCCATCGGCATGGATCTTTGCCCTAAACTTGGTATATCTATCCCCGTCGGCAAGGACTCAATGAGCATGAAGATGAAGTGGTCGGACAACGGGGAGGCCAAGGAAGTTACTGCACCCATGTCGCTCGTCATTACGGCGTTTGCACCTGTCAACCGCATTGACCGAACCTGGACGCCCGCCCTGGAGAGAGTCGAAGACGTTGGTGAGACGATTCTTATGTTTGTCGACCTAGCAGCGGGCAAGAAGCACATGGGCGGCTCTGCTTTGGCGCAGACATTCGGGCAGGTTGGCGACGAAGCGCCTGATGTCTACGATGCCGATATCATCAAGGACTACTTTGACGCTATCGAACAACTCCATGACTCTGGAATCGTCCTCGCCTACCACGACAGGTCTGACGGTGGTCTCTTCACAACCCTCGCTGAAATGGCCTTTGCCGGACGATGCGGTGTTGAGATCATGCTCGATGGCGTCGCCTCGTCGAGCGAGCCCAAGGACGTACTGGAAACACTGTTCAACGAAGAGCTCGGAGCTGTCTTCCAGGTCAGAAAGAAGGATGAAGTTGCCTTTAACCGCTGCTTTGCAACTTGCGGACCACCTCCAGGTATGATCAAGAAGATCGGTCGTGTCGCAGAAGCGCCCAAACAAGACGTTTCCTTTTATGTCGGCACTCAATGCGTTTACCGCAACAGCCGCCAGAAGCTTCAGCAACGCTGGGCGGAGACCTCGTACCGGATGCAGAAGCTTCGTGACAACCCTGCTTGCGCCGACACCGAATTCAAGAGCATCCTCGACGACAAGGACCCTGGTCTCTCGTACAACCTCACCTTCAAACCCGCTGAAAATATCCTACCCTTCATGTCTAACCTCAAATCACCTTTCACTGCCAAGCCGCGTGTGGCCATTCTTCGCGAAGAAGGTGTGAATGGTCAAGCAGAGATGGCATTCGCTTTCCATCAAGCTGGATTCACTGCCATTGATGTACACATGACTGACATCATCTCTTCACGAGTCTCACTCGCTGGATTTGTGGGTCTTGCAGCCTGCGGTGGTTTCTCCTACGGTGATGTACTCGGCGCAGGTCAAGGTTGGGCAAAGTCCGTCCTCTTGCATCCCAACACACGCAAAGAGTTCCAAACCTTCTTCAACCGCCCAGACACCTTTGCTCTTGGTGTCTGCAACGGCTGCCAGTTCATGAGCAAGCTTAAGGAACTCATTCCTGGTGCGGAGTTATGGCCAAGCTTCGAGCGCAACGCATCCGAGCAATACGAGGCGCGTGTCTGTATGGTTGAAGTTCTCGATCCCAAAGGACCCAACACACCACCATCCGTCTTCTTGCACGGCATGGCCGGTTCCAAACTTCCCATTGTCACCGCACACGGCGAGGGACGCGCTCACTTCTCTAACTCGGCTTCTTCTGTCTCCAGCCCACAAACCCTGTACAACGAGAACCTCGTCTCCCTCCGCTATGTCGACAACTACGGAAAGCAGACCGAGACATACCCATACAACCCCAACGGCAGTCCAATGGGTATCACCGGTGTGAGGAGTACCGATGGAAGGGTGTTGGCGCTCATGCCGCACCCCGAGCGAACCATCTTGAAGGAGGTGGGTAGCTACATCCCACGGGATACCGAAGGATGGGGTGAGCTCGGCCCGTGGTCGCGCATGTTCAAGAGTGCCAGGCGATGGGTCGGTTAAAGTGGATACTCGATGAAAGATAGGATTTCATATGCATTGGAGTTGGCGTTACAGGCGGATTCACCTTCGGTTTTCACGATACACGAAAAATGATAGATCCTCAGTTCCCAAAACGTCCGCCAATATACAAAAAGTGAAGCAGTTGCCCGCCTCATCTTCTATTACGCCAGTGCTCGCCTTGTGTAGCAAACCGCCACGATCCAGCACACTCTCTCCGTCCTTTCCTTGCGAGGAACAAAA